AGACACAGAAAGACAAATACTGTATGATTCCACTTACATGAGGTAGCTAGAGTAGTCAAAATCATAGAAATAGAGAGTAGAATGGTGGATACCAGGGGCTGGGGGAGGAGGGAATAGAGTTATTGTTTAACGGGTATAGAGTTTCAGTTTGAGAAGATGAAAAGGTTCTGGAGATGAATAGTCGTGATGGTTGCACAACAATATGAAGGTACTTAATGCCACTGAGTTGTACACTTACAATGGTTAAAATGGTAAAATTTTTACATTATGTATATTTTATCACACATACACAAAAATAATTTTTAAAAAGACCCTGTATAAGAGGATAGAGATGCTACAGACTTGAAGAAAATAAATTGCAAACTACATGTCCAAAAACAGACTAGTATCTAGAATATATGAAGAAATCTCAAACTGTTTTTTTGTTCTCAACTGTAAAAAAAAAAAAAAGAAAGAAATCCAAGTTGAAAATGGGTAAAAGACAAGAATAGACATTTCACTGAAGAGAGCATACAGATGGCAAATAAGCACGGGAAAAGATGTTTAATATCACTAGCCACCAGGGAAATGCAAATTAAAACCACAATGAGATGTCATTATATGACTCTCAGAATGGCTAACATAAAAAATTGTGATAGCACCAATTAACACTGATTATTTAATGATAACACCAAATAGTGATATCACCGATAGTGATAATGATGTGAAGAAACCGCATCAATCATACATTGCTGGTAGGAAAATAAAATGGTACAGCTGCTCTGGAAACAGTTTGACCAAGTCTTTAAAAACTAAACATGTATTAGGTTTGCACAGTGGCAGTATTGTAGCCAATGAGGTTTATCCAAGGTGTGATTATTGCTAACTGAAAACTTTTCCCAATACCCCACCATAACGACTTGAAATATAGTCCGCAATGGCAATTTTTGACAGTCTCTATGGAGATTGAAAGAAAAAAACTAATCATGTATTAGCAAATGACCCAGCAATTGCAATCTTGGGTGTTTATTCCAGAGAAATAAAAACTTATGTTCCGAGACTTCCCTGGTGGCTCAGTGGTTAAGAATCCACCTGCCAATGCAGGGGACACGGGTTCGATCCCTGGTCCAGGAAGATCCCACATGCCATGGAGAAACGAGGCCCATGCGCCACAACTACTGAGCCTGCACCCTAGAGCCCGCGAGCCACAACTACTGAGCCCACGCACAGCAACTATTAAAGCCCACGTGCCTATGCTCCACAACAAGAGAAGCCCCTGCTCGGCACAACTAGAGAAAGCCCACACGCAGCAGCGGAGACCCAATGCAGCCTAAATAAATAAATAAATATTTTTAAAATAGTAATAATCAATTAAAAAAAACTTATGTTCCCACAAAAATCTGTACACTAATGTTCATAGCTTCTTGATTTGCAATGGCCAAAATCTTGAAACAAACCGGATACCTTGTAAGAGGTAAATCAACACACTTGGTCCATCCATACCATGGAATACTACACAACAATGAAAGGTACCAAACTGTTGATCAGCACAAACCTTAGATGGTCTCCAGGGAATTGTGATGCCTGAAAAAAAGTCAATCCTAAAAGTTGCATACTACATGATTCCATTTGTATATCATTCTTGAAATGGTAAAATTATAGAAATGGAGAACAGATTAATGGGTGCTAGAGATCATTAAGGAGGGTGCAGGGAAGGGAAGTGGGTGTGGTTATAAAAGGGCGACATTAGGGATCTTTGAGGTGTTGGAACAGTCCTGTACCTTGACTGTAGTGGTGGCCACGTGAATCTACACATGTAGTAAAATTGCATAAACTAAATACACGTGCACACACACACACACACAGAAAGGAGAGCATGTAAAGCTGGTGGAATCTGAATAAAGTGAAAGGATTATATCAATGTCAGTATCTTGGTGTTGATATTGTACTGTGGTTATACAGGATGGGAAGACAGAGTGAAGGACGTACAGGCAGATTTCTTTCTTACAACTGCCCATGAATTTGCAGTTTCCTCTAAGGGAAAAAAAAAAAAAAAAAAGCATAGGTGCTTCCCTGGTGGCGCAGTGGTTGAGAGTCCACCTGCTGATGCAGGGGACACAGGTTCGTGCCCCGGTCTGGGAAGATCCCACATGCCGCGGAGCGGCTGGGCCTGTGAGCCATGGCCGCTGAGCCTGCGCGTCCAGAGCCTGTGCTCCACAACGGGAAAGGCCACAACAGTGAGAGGCCCGCATACCACACACACACACACACACACACACACACACACACACACACACACAAAAGAAATAAAATAAAACAATTTAGGAGAATAGCCATTAGCCACCTTAGCTGCTTCCAAAACAAAATAAGAAAAGCAATGCACACTTAATGATAACCAGAGGGTAGAAACTTAAGAAGGTGGGCCTTCAATATATGTGTAAGAAAAAGGTATTAATTAATTTTTTGGAGAGTCATCTGAAGAAAGAAACTATTATTAATACTATCAGGAAGGGAGTCTGCCCTGTTCTAGAAAAGCAGGAGCCCAGAGAAGAAAGTGTTAAGCTGTCGTGAGGCCCTGCCCTTGTCCTAACAGGTGTATTGATCTGCTTGGCAGTTAAGAGTTGGCAGGGATGCCACTTACAGAACGTGTATTTATGTGTGAGGTACTTTACCTGCCTTGTCATTAATCCTCAGCACAACTCTACAAAATAGAAGTTATCTCCATCATTAAACTAAGGCTTAGGAGATGAAATAACTTGCCAGAGATCACACAGCTAGTGAGTGGCTATTGTGCTTGATGCCTTGGTCTTAGAATTAATTATCTCATTAACTCTTTTCACTCTAACTTCCTGCTTCAAAATTTTGATTTTCCATATAGACATTCCTAAAAGGGAAGCCCATGTGAATATTTAACCTTTTGGCAGTTCTGTTTTCACTGTATATCAGTTAAGTTGACACTGTGATTTACTCACCAGCCTAGTGTGAAAATGGTTCATAGGCATGAGTTCTTCTGCCGCTGAATATTCTGGGTATATGGGAGCATTCTGTTACTGTAAAAATATAAGGTACTGAACTTGGGTTAATTTCCAAGGTACCACCACCCTGTGAGGCTTCAGTCTTTGATGCCCTTCTCCCTCTCTTAGAATTCAGTCTTCCTGCGGCAAGATGGGGAAATGGTGTTGCTGATTTAAGTAAATGGCGAGGGCTTACGGAATCAGTTACAGGCAAAGCGAAAGTTGAGAACTAGGTCCCCTAACTCTTACTCCAGTGTAACCCTTTTGGCTGTACTCATCTTGTCAGAGCGCCCTATTTCAAGGGGCAGATCCAGAAAAATTGGTTTATATGCTCAGTTAACATCCCTATTTTCTGTACTCCCTCTGCATCTTGGCTACTGGTGGAATTATTTTTGTTAGCATTATTGATAGCTTTATTATGAGCTCAATTTTCTGGACATAAATGAATAGACACTGAAAAGTCATATTGTGTTTATTTAAAATGTTCATCATTTCAACATCGTATAAACTGGGCAGCCATGCACCACTGGCTCAGATAATAGCTTTTATATATTGCATAGACTATTACATATAAAGAGTTATACTCATTAGACCTCGGTATTTCCACTGCACAGTATAGTACCTGGCACAAGTAGGTTGTTAATACCTGTGAACTGGATCAGATTGGATTAGACTGAATTAAATTGATTGAAGGTGGCTCTAATGTGTTTCGACTCCTAGATTCTGTAATTTATTTAACACCCCTACCCAAGTAGATGTTTACACTACATCATGTCTGTTCAAAGACACATTATTAGGTCAAGTTTTCTGTCCCCTGATCTGAAAGATCTACCTAATCAGGTAGGTCAGTTCTGGGAACTAAGACCTTCCTGAGACCTCGCAGATTACCAGCCTGGAAGGGAAGGCTGTGTTCTCTCTCTGTTCTCAGCACTGGGAAGGGCCAGGGAGTCTCAGCACATGATAGCAGGTATTGCAGAGGTGCTCAGAAATGTGGCAGCACTGGTTCAAACCCAGTAAATGACTTTTTGCAGTTAATTGTAAAACCCCAAATAATGAGCAGTGATATTTCCTTAGAGGTGCCACTTAATCACTTTACCCTTCTCTTTGTCAGGTCACCTGCGGAAGTCACTAGGGCACTTTATTTTCTTGAAACAGGTTTTTTCTTTTGCCTTAAGGATTGTTGGCATCCAGAGTCTCAAATAGATTTTGTCTGATGGCTTTGGGCAAAGAAGGAAAGTGATAATTAGTTGTTTCTTTCTGTTCTGTACCAGTAACTTTTCACAGACACTTCTGAAGCTTCTGGTTTTCACTTCATTTTTGTGGAGAACTTTTTATTCATCTGTTTTTCTTTTAAAATATAGTATACAAAATGCCTGACATCTGTATCCTTTTTGATTGTGTTGGTTGGAGAGAATTTAAAGTTATACACAATACATTGTTTTCTAGAACATTCGTCTTTAGAGTCTTCTGAGATTGTTGCTCGGTAACATGTCATGAGGAAAGTTCAGATTTCCAAAGCATTTGTCATTTCTTCCTGAGCTGCTAATTTGTTTAGTAACCATTTGTTTCTCACACTCTTGTCTGCCAAGCTGTAGACATAGGTACATGCCAGATCCATAGATCCATAATCCATAAATGTTAATAATAGCACTAAAAGTAGGTTGGAGTATGCCTTTGATATCTAGCTTTTCTCCTGAAAGTCCTAAACCAAACTCTCTGGTCTTTTCTTAAATACACTGATGCTTGTATAATGATACACGTCTTTAGGAGAAATTTCCCATCAGTTCTCAACTAAAACTCTGGAATATTTAAACTAATGATAGAAAACAGTCTTCCATGTTACTTCCTCAAGGGATTTCCTACCTGTGTAGGTAACAGTAATGACACTGATTTGAATCATGGCTTCATAAAATACACTTTTTTAGGTTAAAGTAAACTTCCATTCCATCTTGAAAGAGTGAGATCAATTTTTGCCTTAGTTATTAATACCTGTTCATTTTATTTCAGGGGTACAGGCATGGATGGGAAGAAATGCAGCATATGGATGTTTTTACCCCTTGTATTTACCTTGTTTACTTCAGCTGGATTGTGGATAGTGTGAGTATTCTCTTATTTAAGGACTCAGGTGCAATGTAGATAAAAATGTCAAGTGTTGATAGTATGGTTGCCCCTTTGTATCTGCAGACTGCACATCCTTGGAGTCAACCAACTGCAGATCAAAATTATTCAGGAAAAGAAATTCCAGAAAGTTCCAAAAGGCAAAACTTGAATTTGCTGCTCACTGGCAACTATTCACATAGCATTTACATTGTATTTACAACTATTTATATTTTATTAGGTATTATAAATAACTTAGAGATGAAAGTATACAGGAGGATGTGCGTAGGTTACAGTTGACCCTTGAACAACAGGAGTTTGAACTGCGAGGGCCCACTTATATGTGGATTTTTTTCAATAAATACTACAGTACTGTATGGTCCATGGTTGGTTGAGTTCGAGGGTATGGACCCTTGGATGTGGAGCTGACTATGGGACTTGATTATCCACAGCATCTGGTGTCCACTGCTGGTCCTGGGACCAATCCCCCACATATACCGAGGGACAACTGTTCATATTCATATGAATGTATTTGTAAATACTTTAAAATAATGTTTACTAATTCAATCATGCTAAATTTCCCATTTCTCTTCCCTTCTTGTTTCACCCAAAGTAGATAATAAGAGCAAGTAATAAATTATGCAAAGCAGATGGTGAAGAATACTGGTGATGTGGACTCATTATTTGCAAGATTTGCTAATTTGACATTAACATGCTATAAAGATTCCATTCACAGTCCCGTTCATAGTCCAGTTTTTTGGTGTGTGTGACTGGGTCTGGTATGTTTATAAAATGGGTATCATTACATCAGAAGTCTTGCTTATCACAAAACATTCCCACACTTGCTTATTTCAAGTACTGTTTACTTCTAGAAAATTATTTTAGTTCCTTGCAGTTCATTAAGAAAGGTGAACACATATTCCTGAGAAATTAGAAACTTTGAATCCTAATTTTAGTTTCCCCAAAGTTGTATGGTCTTACTTCTTTGCTTCCCGGTTTCCAGATTATAATGATTGCCATTAATTAATTGCCATTAATTTTCTTTTGAAAATTACAGAAATACTATTAATGACATTTATGGTTCAGAGGGCTAGGTGAGCTATAGGTAAAGCATTGTAGTAAAACAACATTGTCCCAGTTAGAAAAAAATGAATATGATTTAATGTGGTTAGTCCAATAAAACTGGGAAACAAATGATTCTTGGGTTTTTTGTTTTGTTTTGTTTTGTTGCGGTACACGGGCCTCTCACTGCTGTGGCCTCTCCCATTGCGGAGCACAGGCTCCGGACGCGCAGGCTCAGCGGCCATGGCTCACGGGTCCAGCTGCTCCGCGGCATGTGGGATCTTCCCGGACCGGGGCACGAACCCACATCCCCTGCATCGGCAGGCGGGCTCTCAACCACTGCGCCACCAGGGAAGCCCGATTCTTGGTTTTTTTTTAACATTTCTTTGTTTTATAAATTTTTTTGTTTTTTCTTCATAGATACTTTATAGCTGTGGAGGATGACAAAATTTTCCCATTAAACTCAGCTGAAAGGTAAATTTATCTCTGGGTAATTCTTTGTTCATCAGTAGATTTAACAAAAACTTTGCCACTGATGAAGTTAAACTATGCACAAGTGACCATGCTTTAACCTGAGCTTCTGGCTTTTCTTTTGTTATCCAGGAAACCTGGTGTGAAGCATGCACCGTATATAAGGTAACTTGATAATTCTCTTCTGGTCTGTTGGATCTTAGGAAAGTTTAGGGTGTATTAGTTCTGGCTACTAAGACAAAGTAGCATAGACTGGATGGCTTATAAACATGAGAAACTTATTTCTCACATCTCTAGAGGCTGGAAGTCCAAGATCAGGGTGCTAGCATTGTCAGGTTCTGATGAGAGCGTTCTTCCAGGTTGCAGACTGCCATCCTCTCATTGTGTCCTCACATGGCAGAAAGAGGGCAAGAGAACTCTTTAGGGTCCCTTTTATAAGGGCACTAATCCCATTCACCAGGGCTCCACCCTCATGATCTAATCACTTCCCAAAGGCCCCACCTCCTAATGCCATCACATTGGGGGTTAGGATTTCAGCATATGAATTTTTAGGGGACACAGACATTCAGTCGATGGCAGAGAGTTATCAATTTTACTACAGTAATAATAAAACACTTCCTGTTTTTCAAGTATTGCAGGTGATGAACCTCCTGCAAGCTGTGTGTTTAGTCAAGTTATGAACATGGCAGCATTCCTAGGTAAGAAGAGCATAAAGAATGCTTTATGTGCTTTGGTATGTTTCTTTTTTATTTTAAATTCTCCCAAACCCATATCAAAATCATGGTGGACTTAGTTGATAATTTGGTATCATATCATGTCAATATGCTGAAGAGGGCTTTTTGTTTTGAGTGTCTTTTTTTCTCATGAATCCTTTTACATTCACCTGCTTACCTTACGTTTTCTTTTCCCTTTACCATCTTTAATCATTTCAGCCAATTCTTGACTTTATTTCTTTTGCTGCATGAAATAATATATTTCATGGGCCATAAAATCCTGCATGAGAATGTAATATTGTGCAATATGTTTGCTTTAAAAAGCATGCCTTATTTTTTCCTTCACTGGCAAGGATGAAAAAATGCTTAGGCTCTGTGATAAATATTGATGTGTGTAGATATTGTCTTTAAATCTAAAGGTCAGCCTTAACATTAGGGTGATGCTCTCCCCTGTGCCTATACACATATCAAGCTGGCAAATGGAAATGTAGGTTAAAAAAAGAAAGAAAGAAACCTTTTGTACTCATGTCTGGCCCCAATTCCCCACTTTTCCTTTAGGGACCAAGGCCTTCATTTAATATCCTGTCCCCTTTGTACTGTTCCCTGGGGATCGTGGGAACCAGCCATGCTCTCTGTCTTCCTCCAGATTGACTTTATAGCCCATTTCCTCCAGGCCAGGACTCTCGGTGTCTTTCAAAGGGTCAACCAGCTACCACCACTGGCATATTGTTGGGTCGGCCAGTGACAGCTAAATTTTTCAACAGTGGTTTTCTGGAAGTGTTTATTTTGCATAGTAAGACTTTCACTCCAAGTAAGAGAGAATGATGATGTTATTACCGAGGGAGTATTGGCACCTGTCCCCCAGAGAGGTGCCCTGTTATTTCATCTATTTATAAACACCCCACAAAGAAATTTCTATTCACTCTTACATGTTCCTTTTTAATGTTTGCTGTAGGAAAAGGGAAGACCTGTAGAATTCCCTGGAAAATCAAGGGAGACTGTTGGTCCAACATGCAACACAGGCAGAATCCTAGTTGGTTCAGAAGGCTGATAATGTGAGAAACATGGAGAATGTTCCCTGTGAGGCACCAGGGGAAGTGCTAGTGGGTCCGGTTTTGTCTCCCTGCCTTTAGCCTCAAAGTTGCCAGGAGCTGTAGACTCACTCTTTTTTCCTAGCCTTGACACTACTCTTCTGAAGAGCTCTAATAAACATACTCATGCTAAGGCATAAATGACCTCTAAGGAGATACTTGCATTTAATAGAACACAAAGTCCCAAGGGTGGATCTGGACTTGCAGGGTCAGGGACCCTTCCCAGCCCCTCTGCAATCACACCACATAGGCCTGCAGGTTGGTACAGACTCATGATCATCCCCACGGAGCACAATAATTACAATAATTAATGGCAGTCACTTAATATTCCAGGCACAATGCTGAGTGCTTTGCAAATACTACCTCTTCTAATCATGATACACAGGAGACTGCCTTTATGAGGAAGGAGACTGCCTTTATGAGGAAGCTATCACAGGCTGTCTGTCCTCCACTGGGCTTTAAAGAGACCAATGAACATGTTGGAAACAATATATTATCCTTTATATTCTTAAGACAAATTGATATGTCCCAATAGTCTTTAGTGTAAAATCTAAAATATGCCAGTTTGCACAGCTCACAAATTTATCCAGTTATAAAGCTGATGATTAACTCATTATAAAAGCATTTCCAAAAACACAGTCGTGAAAACAAGTTCCCCTCTTGCAGATGACATTCGTCGTCATCTGACTCTCCAGTCCTCCCCTGCTCCACCAAGAAGCAGTTAAGTTTTTACTAGCTTTTGCTCTAAGGTATTACAGCATCCAGTATTTATACTTTATTATCTTTCATCATTTTTAGTGCCATCTGGTAGACACAGAACTGATTAAGATTAGTATTCAGTGGGAGTGAACCAACAATTATTTATCTGGGAATGAAAAAGAATCAGTTTGCTAATGATTCTTGCTCTAAACTGTGGTTGCTTTTGTCTCCCCAGGCCTATCCCTCTTAGACCTCAGACTGTTACTTTAGACGACATCACTGACTATAAGAAACAACATAGACCACCTGTAAATCACTGCTTGTTGGCAGCTGTATAGATGATAATTTATAACCTACAAATGAGTTGGTGTAGCAAAGATCTTATATCTTTTTGATGGACTAATCAAAGATCAAATGCTCAGTGATTTCCTTATAGAATTAGTTACACTTTTTGTCCTGAATCCACACTTTCATTTCTCCTGGGGGGTGGGGTGTAAAGACCTAAGACAAATTTCTTTTTTTTTTTTTAGGTAAGAAGTGGATTTATTTAGAGAGAAACACACTCCACAGACAGAGTGTGGGCCATCTCAGAAGTCAAAAGGCCCCAGGTTACAGGGTGGTTAGTTTTTATGGGCTGGGTAATTTCTTTTTTTTTTTAACTTCCTAAATCTTATTTATTTGTTTGTTTATTTCTTTTTATACAGCAGGTTGTTATTAGCTATCCATTTGATACGTATTTATGTATACATGTCAATCCCAATCTCCCAATTCATCCCACCACCATCACCCCCCCACTTTCCCTCCTTGGTGTCCATACGTTTGTTCTCTACATCTGTGTCTCTCTTTCTGCCTTGCAAACTGGTTCATCTGTACCATTTTTCCAGATTCCACATATATGCGTTAATATACAATATTTGTTTTTCCCTTTCTGACTTACTTCACTCTGTATGACAGTCTCCAGATCTATCCACGTCTCTACAAATGACCCAATTTTGTTGCTTTTTATGGTTGAGTACTATTCCATTGTATACATGTACCACATCTTCTTTATCCATTCATCTGTCGATGGGCATTTAGGTTGCTTCCATGACCTGGCCATTGTAAATAGTGCTGCAGTGCACATTGGGGTGCATGTGTCTTTTTGAATTATGGTTTTCTCAGGGTATATGCCCAGTAGTGGAATTGCTGGGTCATATGGTAATTCTGTCTTTAGTTTTTTAAGGAACCTCCATACTGTTCTCCATAGAGGCTGTATCAATTAACATTCCCACCAACAGTGCAAGAGGGTTCCCTTTTCTGCACACCCTCTCCAGCATTTATTGTTTGTAGATTTTCTGATGATGCCCATTCTAACTGGTGTGAGGTGATACCTCATTGTAGTTTTGATTTGCATTTCTCTAATAATTAATGATGTTGAGCAGCTTTTCACGTGCCACGGCCATCTGTATGTCTTCTTTGGAGACCAAGAAAAATTTCTTAAAAGGAATATTATTTTCTGCTCTGGAGAGGTTGTGAGGATAAACTAATAGCTGAATAATTTTGGTCACCTAATAGCGGCGTCTTTCCCTCCTTCAGCCAAAACATATTGATTGTCATGTTCTACTGCTGTCATAAATAAGAATTATTGATGTATAAACAGTAAAACTAAACAAAATGAAGAAGAATTTGGCCAGACCCAGTCTAGAACTGCAGTGAAGAGCTGCTGTTTTGAGTTTGAACTTTAAAAACCCGATCAGCTTCAGAATAAAAGAATTTAACAAAGAAAATAAGGAATTACTCTAATATTTATATTTTTAACAGGCAGATAAATTAAATAAGGGACACTTGTATAGCAAAGGACTGTTGGGAATATCAAAAACAACAAAAGGGTGGGTTTTAAAAATCTTTTCTAAAACTGTAAGTAAAATTTTAAATTTTTAAATGAAACAAAAAATATATCTATTGAGCAGAATGTTAATGTGGTAAAAATTGGTTGACATATATAAAGATGGCTTTGAAATTGCCCTACTGCCCAAGAAAACTTTTTCAATAAGGTATAATTAAATCATTACTTGGTTGTAAATGGACTTCATAACAGTCTGAATCTGTCTGCATTTAAACCTGTTAATAAAACTGTTAATGGATCAGAAGCTTTATTATTTCCACAACCATAAAATTTCAACTAGACCCTATTATGGAAAGAAATTAGGCCTAGCCTCAGCTGATTAATAATGGAGTTAATAGGTTAAAAGGGCCAAGTGTGGTGTTTGGAATGCTGTTCTGGAAGTTGGGAATGTTGGGTTGATTCCTGTCTTCAGGGAAGTTTCTGTTTCCTGGTTAATATCATCTGTTCTTGATGAAATGACTTACCACCCATATTACAAATGAAAAGGCTAGCAATGCTGGAGCCAGGAGAATAGTACACATCCAGAGTTCACTGGAGAGAAATGAGTAACACAGACAGTGGCACTGACTGCGTCCCTTTGGGTAGAGTGGCACAAACTACCTGGATGGTCAACATGAAGAGCCATTTCGGTGTCTGCTTTGGCAGTGGGTTAGGGCCTCGGTGAGAGTTCCGACACCATCCTAGCCCTCCAAACTAGATGACAACCAGAAAGTTCCCAGAGTCATACTCTCCACTAGTCGTTTTTAAAAGAAATTAAATGTGCTGCCTCGGTATTCTGTCATTATGTGCTGACTAATATCCACACACAGTTAATTAGCAAATGTCTCCCCTGGTGCCTTTTGTGGAGATTTCTGGTCTAAATCTAATGACTTCTTTACTGAAGATCACTTTGTGTCAGGGCGCTTATGTTGAATTTCTCGTCTCCCCACTTCTTCCTCCTATTCGTATCCCCAAAAGTATTAGAAATTGTGCTTATTTTTTCATCCTCTAGGATAGTTATTGTCAACATTAATAGACTTCTGATAATATGATAACTCCTAACTGGATCCCTCAAACCATTAGGTTGAAAAACTATTATCAAAAAAATGGTTCTGAAGAACCTAGGGGCAGGACAGGAATAAAGACACAGATGTAGAGAAGGGACTTGAGGATACGGGGAGGGGGAAGGGTAAGCTGGAATGAAGTGAGAGAGTGGCATGGACATATATACACTACCAAATGTAAGATAGATAGCTAGTGGAAAGCAGCCACATAGCACAGGGAGATCAGCTCAGTGCTTTGTGACCGCCTGGAGGGGTGGGATAGGGAGGGTGGGAGGGAGGGAGACGCAAGAGGGAAGAGATATGGGAACATATGTATATGTATAACTGATTCACTTTGTTATAAAGCAGAAACTAACACACCACTGTAAAGCAATTATACTCCAATAAAGATGTTAAAAAGCTATTATCAGCTCAAGTATAATCTATTAATTTGATGATGAATCATGGGCATTAGCTTTAACATAAATATACTAAAAGCTAAATCAGATCCAAACAATTTAAGATTTCATAGATTGCAGTTTATTTCTATTTTGTTTCCAGAATCCAACTATTAACCAAGTTGTATACCACTCTTTGACCAGAGGTACTTGGAACTGAAAGTCAACTCACTGAACTAACTTTGTAGCTTGAAACTATGAAATTCGTCATACTTGGGAAATGCAAACTTGTGAATGGGTTTCTTTGTTAATGGCTACTAATAATGGCCTGAAATCAAGGCAGACTTACAGCAAATAATTACCTACTAATTGTTGTATAAATAGGATGATTCTTGAATTCCTAATTGTCTTCCCTGCTAAACCTTAATGTCAAAATAAATTGCCTTAGGAAGTAGTAAGTGCATTTCTTCATATTAGCTATAACATATTAATTGCAAGTGCTTTTTAAAAATCATTTGTAGACTGACCTCTCCCAGCTTTTTGTATAAATATGAAAATATCCCTGCACCAAGCAATTAATAAAAGGAGATTCTTAGATTAGTGACTTGAGTATGGACTGGCCTCAAGGTTACTATTAGAAGTCAGATTTGAAATCTAAGTGCTTCCTTTTTCTCTCTGCAGATTCTCCAATGACAATTTGATTCAAAAGAGTGGGATTTTAAAATAAGTAATTAACATCATGTGAAGAATTGAGCTTTCTTAATATAATCAATATGATTTTCAGTACATACCAAACCCCCAAATCTGCTATGTTAAAATACAGATTCCATGATTTTATTGCTGTAACTGCTCTAATTTGGGTGAGCTGTCTTTGTCCTTCGACAATGAACACCTGCAGGTAGAATCAGAAGGGAGAGGGAATAAACCAGTAATAAAGGGATTTGTACATGTGCCTTTATCTTCCTTCCTATCCCCGGGAATGATTTCTGGCACAGGGACCAGCAGGTTTGTCTAGATTGGTAACCTTGTCTTCTTCCCCTTGTTTTCTTGCCCTATCTGTTCTAACACGGTTCTAAACTAAAGGCTGATGGAATCAGTGAATTCCCGTGCCACGGGCTGTCTCTCTGTGTCTGATCTGCTGTGTGCCAAGCCTCTGTGATGTTCTTCTAAGCCAGTCTGTCTTGCGCTGACCTTGTTTTTGAGAACTCTGAGAACAACACTAGTTGTTACCAGTCTATCATCTTGTGTCACCCAAATAACATATAGCACGCTGCTTCAGTTCCTCTCTGCTTTCCCCAGGTTAGCTAGAATAAAACATCTCAGTAATCAGAAACGTCACATGGAAAATTTCTTTTAAAAATGCATCTGTCGTTTTAGAGATTTAAAGGTGTACTGTGGCAAAAAGTTTACTTCTGCACATCGTGGCTTTAGAACGCTGCTTCCTAGTCTGACTGTGTGATTTAACTTTTTCAATCATAACATTTTGTTTTATTCCCAGCTCTGGTGGTAGCTGTTCTGCGCTTCATACAACTGAAACCAAAGGTTTTAAATCCATGGCTGAATATTAGTGGATTGGTGGCGCTCTGTCTGGCTTCCTTTGGAATGACCTTACTTGGTAATTTTCAGGTACTTCATTTGGCCTTTTTCACCTCCATCTCACACTTCACCTATATGATGATCACAGCCACTGAGTTATAGTCACTACGTGGCCCATAGAATTCTCCATGAATCTTTAAAAAAATGCTAACAGTGGTTCCTGATATGCACAGTTTCTCCAGCAGTCAGTCCATCTGTTCTTTGAGCCTCGCCTACGTAAGTCTGAATTAAACATGAGAAATTCCTCCCTATGCATTGGAAATACAGCACAGCTATTGGGAAACGTATCTACTAAAATAGGGCTTTCAAACCGCTATATACTTTTTTTCATAACAAATTGTATTCTAATGTACCTTTCTAGAAAATTAATAGGATCATTGCCTTTCTGTAATTAAACATTGAACATTCTTATTGGATGAAACCTTGCATTTTAGATTAGCAAGCTCACATGGGAGTCAGTTTGAAAACCTAGAATTTCTCTAGAACGCCTGTGACTTGAATAAGGAGGTACTAACCCTCACTCTTCTTCCCAGAGATGTAGAAACCCAAGGTCACTTAAGCATAATTTCCCTTGCCAATACCCTCACACAACTCTTGACCTAAATGACTTCATTTGTAAAATAGACATGGAGACCCTGCCCAGTTACAGTAGTCTGTTTTTCCTGCCTCCATTCCCTCCCCAGCATCCTCCGGCCTCTGTGATATACTGCTGCTAGAAACTTCCTCCTTGCAGTCAAACACCAATCCTGACACTTCTCCACCGTCTGTTGAGTGAAATCCAAATGGTGCAGGCATTCCAGGCACTCAGCATTCTAGTGAGTGTTTAGGAATGTTCTTACTGAAAATACGGTAGTGGATTTTCTAAGACTGTCTCTCGTCCTTGACCCTCAGTGCTGATAATTCATTAAATTAGGATAACTCATTCCCCAAGATGTCCCCGGCACACAGTAGCAACTCAATAAGTATTTTTTTTAATAAATAAATTTATTTATTTTTATTTTTGTGGCTGCACTGGGTCTTCGTTGCTGCGCGCGGGCTTTCTCTAGTTACGGCGAGTAGGGGCTATTCTTTGTTGCAGTGTGCGGACTTCTCATTGCGGTGTCGTCTCTTGTTGCGGAGCATGGGCTCTAGGTGCACAGGCTTCAGTAGTTGTGGCACGTGGGCTTAGTTGCCCCACGGCATGTGGGATCTTCCCAGACCAGGGCTTGAACCTGTGACCCCTGCATTGGCAGATGGATTCTTAACCACTGTGCCACCAGGGAAGCTCTTAATGAGTATTTTTTACTTAATGGGCTGTCTGACAGATAGGCAGGCAGTCCCACCCATTCCTCTAACTATTCTAGATCTCATTCCGTATCAACCTAGATAATGAGAAAACTGCATTCTTAGAACATATTGGCTAGGAGGATGAATTATCAGGAGAATATTTGAGAGTTTATCTGTTAAGCTCCAAAATGTTAGGGCACAGAGCATTTTAAATTGAGATTTTGGTGGTAGTCTTTCCTCCACTTATCCATCTGTGCTACAGGGACTGGCATGTTGTAAAATGCTCAGTAACTATCATTTCTCTCAACCAGGTCTTAGATGGAAGTTACTGAATAGACATTTTGTTTTTCACTAAAGTTCCCCAAAGAATCCCATGATTGGGTTGTTTGGGTGAACCACAGATATTCAAAACTGTAAATGATGACGCTGTATATGAAGAACATTTTCTGGAATATCTACAGAGATTACACAGGAAACAAATAACACATTAGTTGCCTGTGGAGAAACCAGGTGGCTAGTATATGAGATAAGAGACAGACTTTTCAATCTATACTCTTTTTACAATTTTTTAAAGTTTGGCCCATGTAACTGTATCATCTATTTTTAAAATTAGAATTAAAAAATAAATGAACAGACTATGTAGACCATGGAAAACCAATTTCCTAGTAGTAAAATTTGACTTGGGGAATCATTACTTAAAGTGTTTCAGGACTTTCCTGGCGGTCCAGTTGTTTAGACTCCACGCTTCCAATGCAGGGGGTGTGGGTTCGATCCCTGGTCAGGGAACTAAGATCCCACATGCTGCGCAGCCAAAAAATAAATAACAATAAAATAAAATGTTTCAAAAATATGTGTTTTGAACTGTGAGCGGGGGGAAATGGCTTCTTCAAAGAAGAAAAAAATCCTACAGCCAAAACAATAGAAAAAAATTGTAAAGGGAAAGTAATATTGATTTGATACAACCATTATTCATAGCAACGCTAAACAATAAAACACCTGAAGGCAATGGCGATTCAAAAAGATATTTTCACCATGTTTTTAAAGCCATCTTTCAACAGTAGATTTTATTACCTGTGTTTCCTATATATGTGGGGTACTATATGTGTAGTTAAAAATATATGCAATTGATAAAGGTGTTTTAAGCGACAGATATATTTTTTAAATCAGTGGGTAATGATTTGGGCAGTTTACATCTCTAACCCCCAATTGAAATAACCCAGATGGGTCTCCTTTAACCTATTAACTGTATAAAAGCCTTGACCAGGAATCTTCAAACACTGTTGCCCTTTAATGGGTCTCCAGATATGGCAAAAGCTCATAAGTGCAGTTTTCTTATTATAATAGGAAACAAAACAAAAGCCCATTAACAATGAATTGGCCACATTACATAGACTGGCCAGTTTTGTAAGAGCAAAGAACAGCTCAAGTGTTATGAGTTGTCCAGGCCAGTGAAATCTTGACCTGCTTAGAATTGGCCATCCTCAATCAGTAAGTACACAGCCGGATTCTGGTCTCATTTCTTAGTGTAGAAAACAGAGTTTGGGGTTTATGCCTGTAGAAACTTTGACATTTCTCTTTTTTTGTGTAACTCTCCTGCTTTTTTCTTTTACTTTTCTACAAAGCTTTTCTGGAAAATAAATTCAAAGAATAAATTACCACTGCCTGTATGATTCTTCCAAACAAACGTTTTGAGGTGTGGGCATACTATTCATTTCTCTTCTTCCCCTCAGAGTTGGAACCAATGGAGAATAGGCACAAAGAGCCAGTGGAGATGCAGGGTTCTACTCTTTCTACAACCTATCATCCCATTATTGGGACATCTCTTTACCTATTTTTTTCTCCTTCACGTATTCCACTGGCTTGTATGTATTTTCTAAATGGGCCTCCACAGGTCATTATCTGTTCATCCCTTAGCTCACAAATGATGAAGAAATCCATAATGTCGGAACTTCCTTGACTTTTGGATTTGGCACGTTGACCTGCTGGATCCAGGCTGCATTGACACTCAAAGTAAACATCAAGAATGAAGGACGGAAAGTTGGAATTCCACGAGTTATTCTCTCAGCATCTGTCACTCTCTGCGTGGTCCTCTGTATCCTTTGAATGTGAAAACGTTCTTTGCCAGTGAGATTAAAACACAGATAAGTTGTCCATGTAGAAGATGAGAAGAGTGCCATTCTCAGTTGGTTAGGATATACTGTCGTATCAACTCAGAATATTAGACAAAAAAGAAAAATAAATAGGTATAAAAACGAAAACTTTCAGACCTATTTTTCATGCCAAAGAGGAGATGGAGAGCTAAAGATAAAACAAGCTCTGCCTTCTCAAAACTGTTTCAATCTGTAGGAATGTGCCATGCATTCTCCTTTTGATGTAAAGTTTCCTTTTGTGAAAAACATAGAATGCATAACCAAAAGAGAATTGTGGGGTTTTTTTCCTTCCATCTTGAAAAATTCTTTTCATTTTCGACTTTATCAGTGGCTCTGTTATTTCATTTAATCTATTAACTCTAAAATGAATTTCTAGGGACAAAAATACATTTATACCTTTCAGGAAAACAAGTAAGCTTTTCTGGAAAAATTCAAGAACTAGATTACCACTGCATGTACTGTTGTCCTAAACAAATAATTTTGAGGTGCTATTTATTTCCCTTCCTCCCTCGGAGTTTGAACCAATGGAGAACAGTCACACGGAGCCAGATGGGGATGAAGAAATCAGCCTTTATTCCTAGTAAACTTGGAAAGGAAAATCGTGCAGGCCTCCTATCTCACACCCTGGAATTCAATCTATCCACCCAGTAAGAAGCAGAGAAATCAGGGAAAGGCAGAGGAGAGCATTACACTCAGCTGAAGCCCAAACAGATCGCAGAGGGACTGGTCTAGGGTGGAGCACAGTGACCCCACCTACTATAGCAGGGCCCAGTGGAAGTCGGCCAGTAACCACCCCACCAATCAGATCAGTCACTCAATCCTAAGTGTTCACTCCATTAGGTCCTCTGGAAACTGGAGAAGAAGGAAGTTCCTAGACGGCAAACTGTATAGCTAACACAGTTACAATCATCAATGTAATAGCCAATATTTATTGGGTACTTATAATGTGCTAGGCAGTATTCTAAGCACTTTAAATGTGTCAACCCTTTTAATCCTCACTTAACAAGTAAGAATAGTGAAAAACGAAGGTTAATTACCCAAGATCACACATGGTATGTGTCGATTTGTTCTAAACTCAGGCTCAGTTCTTATACTCTTAAGCACTATGCCATCCCTCCTTAGAGTGGCTTTAAAATACGAGAATGTTGGGCTTCCCTGGTGGCGCAGTGGTTGAGAGTTCGCCTGCCGATGGAGGGGACACGGGTTCGTGCCCCGGTCCGGGAGGATCCCACATGCCGCGGAGCGGCTGGGCCCCGTGAGCCATGGCCGCTAAGCCGGCGCATCCGGAGCCTGTGCTCCGCGACGGGAGAGCCACAACAATGAGAGGCCCGCGTACCACAAAAAAAAAAAAAAAAAAAACCATGAAAATGTTTAGCGTTTGGAGATGTTCGTTAGTGGAATATTTGGAGCCATTTAGTTATTCTTCCCTCACAAACTGCCATTCAGTCATTTTAGCGGTTTTCTTAAGTCTCATTAGATTGAGAACATTTAAGGACTTGAAATTCAAGCCAAAAAACTTGCTTATTACTAGCAACCTGATAAAATATTTTATGAGTAAACAGGTCAGAATTCTGCCAGTGCGAGATTTGAAGATATATTCCTCCCCTGTAAGTTAATATTGCTTTGGCAACAATTTGAACCCTCAGTCAGAAGAGTATGTACAGATTTTAAATCATTCTGAGTTTTGAGCTTATACCAAACAATTCTGATCCATGATATTTCCGAAGACTTGGAACCATTTCGTGGTTCCCAGGTGAATGAATCCAGGCCTAGTCAGCAGAGCGAAGTTTGGCTGAAGTAGTTGTCACAGAATTTTTCACTCTCTGAAAATTTCCCAAGATTTTAAGGCTAAGTTCTGAAGGTAGAACTAATTCTAAGGGAACATTTCTGATTTTTCTAAATAACTTTATTTAGTCCTTGGCCTCTTAGCTTTTCACTATAGAACTTTATGAACCTTTCTCCTCCCCAGCTCCTACCTTCATATATACTGATGTGTGTGTGTGTACACATACATACACTCTGTGTATAGTCAGGCATAGATGAATCATCAGTTCTTTGGTTTTTTAATTGCCTGCTTTCATTTGGGCACAAGTTTAAATGCAACACCAGGAATGAAACCAGCCTATAGAATATTGTCTGAAAGGCAATAGTGAAAACTAGAGAGAAGAAGAGGGGCCACTTAGACCTTATTAGTATCACTGCAGAGACAAACACAGCTTATATGGAGGTAGTTAGCTATTTGATACGTTCACATTGTTCCATCGTCATTTGCAGTGTCTTTTTTTTTTTTTTTTTTGCGGTACGCGGGCCTCTCACTGTTGTGGCTTCTCCCGTTGCGGAGCACAGGCTCCGGACGCGCAGGCTCAGCGGCCATGGCTCACGGGCCCAGCCACTCTGCGGCATGTGGGATCCTCCCGGACCGGGGCACGAACCCGTGTCCCCTCCATCGGCAGGTGGACTCTCAACCACTGCGCCACCAGGGAAGCCCTGCAGTGTCTTTTAAAAATACAGCGTTATTTTTCTGGCCAACTAGTTACTTTGGAATTGTAATTCTTTAGCTAGTCTCACAGTTTATTAGGCAGCCGTAGACTATAGCGGTCGAATGCATGGCCAGGGAGTCAGAGTGCTTGTGTTTGAATCCCAGTTCCACCAGTTAATACCCGTGTTACCCATTTGGCCTCCGTTTCCCTATTTTAAGCGAACTGCTGATAACAGGATGTTGTGATGAGTAAGTTAGGTTTTCCATGAAAGCACCTAGAAGCATGTCTGGCACAAAGTAAGGGCTCAATAATGTTACCTTGTATTATTTATGTAGATGGTGTTCAGCTGGCTCTGTGAAGCTCTTCTGCTAGTCAGGGGGAGAGCCAGGCTTTTCCCGTAACCTGTCTCTGCCCAGAAAAGAGCCCCGTCTTAATGTGGCCGATGGAGGAACTTGCCTTGACTACTTCTCCCCAGACTTCATCCTCATGGCCCAAGGCATCCACCTGTACGCAGCCAGGGTCCAGTGGGGCCTGGTCATGTGCTTCCTGTCTTACTTTGGCACCTTTGCTGTGGAGTTCCGGCATTATCGTTATGAGATTGTATGTTCCGAATACCAGGAGACTTTCCTAAGCTTCTCAGAAAGCCTGTCTGAAGCTTCTGAATATCAAACCGACCAGGTGTAACCCATCAGTTTTTCCTTGCTGGTGAGGTGGGTGTAGCATCAGGGGAGGGGCCAAGGCACACCCACAGGACTTGACACACAACCTCATGACACATCGTAAACACAGGCACGTGCACACGCACACACTCACACACACATTCATGGCCACGTTTGCCAAACGAGCGTTTCGGGGCGAGTTATTTAACAAAAATGCACAAGCCCTATGTGTCGAAATATACGCTGTTAGCACTGAAAATATAATGCACGACAGAGCAAGAAGCTTGTGCATGATCACCTCTCTTTTCCCCTCTCTCCCAACACCCCCTGCTCTTCTTGTCCTCTTCACGTATTCCAGACATCCTGATCACCCTACCTTGGGCAGGCCAAATGTAACATGGGAATAATGCCAACTCCCAAAGTTGCCTTCAGATCCAGAGGGCTTGGAACTAGCTCATGAGGACATTCTGAATCTGGCACTAGGGCTCTTGAATGGACAGAGTATCATTTGGTTGGATGGAAACTGTACAGAGATGTGACCCCGTGTAACCTGTGGATGATGTTGGATCAAGGATAGAACTTTCCCACAAAAACTCCCTTCATCATCGTTCAGTGGTTGGCTGAGCAGATTCGACAAAAGGAATATGCTACGATCTGTGAGGGGGAAGCCCACCACCATGATTTGGACTTTACTGTGACTGAGAAAATATTTCCAAATGTGAATATTTGTAGGCCATGGTCTGCCATGGAGAGATGTGGGTAGCGAGGGTGTGGTTTCAGTTTTGCTTCCATAGTATGCTATGTTCAGTTTTTATTTTCTATTTCATAGTTTGCTTTGTTTTCTTTCTTTTTTTTTTTTTTTTAACTAACTACCATGGTTCTCTTGGGGCCTCACGGACAGAGAAGATGTAGGCCAAACGCAAGAACTGAGCTTGTTTGGGGTTCAGCATGATAAAAGAAAAAAAAAAGAAAGGTCACCTGCAGGCTTAATTTGCTGCTTTTATGTTTGAAGCTAAGAAAATGTTCACAGAAAAGCACAAAGAAATACGTGTGGAGGTAATAAAAAGAGCTCCTGCTGGACATTTGTAAAAGAGAGGAGTTTCAGAGGATCGTGTTGTAAATCCAAATCAAGGAGTTTCTTAATATGTATCTATTGCTCAAATTTAGTATTTTGGGGGGCGGGGGGTTAAGGGCTTTTCATACTCAGAATTTGTAGAAGCCAATTAAAAGGTTACCCTCCCCGAAAAACAAATTGGTTCAGTTCGTCCCCTACAACACATCATGTAGTTCCCACCCGCGAAGAGTTTAGAACTCAAACTCTATTCCTGGGCTTTAGAGGATGTGCTTCATAAAAAAGGGCAGAATTCTAAATCAAAATGCGTTGGAGTGGGCCAAGCTGATGGACCCTCCGTGAGTGCACTTTGTTTCAAGAAATCCCCAAACTTACTTCATAGGGGCTTGGGATTTCATGGAATATAATGTGAAAAAATGTTTTTTTAATCCAACCCAAACTCTGAGCTTCTTGAGGAGGGGGTTCAATGACTTTTCATCTCTGTATTTATCCCCACCTCTTAGCACAGTGCCTGGCACATATTAGGTGCTCAACAAACATCTGTTGAATAGAATTACTGGTAATTTACAGTACGAAAAAGGAGTATCAGAGAAAGACTCAAAGATGTGTGAGAGAATGGAAGATGACTGTTTCATGCAAGACAGGAATGGAAGAAATCACGAGGGTTAGATGGGGGAGGCAGAACACCTCTAAGGGACAAGTAAAATGTGAGAAAAAGAGACAAGCAGAGAGTGTTCTATTAGAAAGTCATCTTACTGTAAATAGTCCAAGGTGACATTTATTATTTTTGAATACTGCTTTTGGGGTTTTTTTTTCATTTTTATATTTTAAAAATTTTATCAGAGAACAAAGATTTATGAAGTTTTCTTTTACTCTACACAATCCAAATTAAATAGCTTTTGGTGATGCACCATACACTTTCTTAAGAGTAGATCTAATAGCGCATTTTAACAGAATCAAGCAATGACTGGCATTATTCATCGGGATCTGACCACTAAATAAAATTCTTTTGTGCAGAATTGTGATTTTTCTTTTGTCTCTTACAAGAACATTTCTTCTCTAATATTAAAGCATGTGTAAACTGACTCAGACATTATGTTGAAAACTTCAGTGTGACATTGGCAGCATATTTCTAGGGTGTTTTCCAACACTAACAACCAATTCTCTGATTCTCTGGACACCAACTGGGTGTCCTACAATTCAGTTCAATTCTGACACTACCCAAAGTTATCCTCAGACCCCACGGGTTTAAAGGCTTGGTCCCGCAAGACCTCCCTCGCTTCAAATGCCGGTCGCAAGTATCATGTCCCCAGATAACCCACACTTCGGTCCAACCTGGTCATAAAATTGGAGGGTGCCCACAATTCCCTTCCCTTCTGGGTTCAATAATTTCCTGGAACAGCTCACAGAACTTGGGAAAACACTTTACTTCCATTTTCTGGTTTATTATAAAAGATACAACTTGAGAGCAGCCAAATGGAAGAGATACACGGGGCAAGGAAGGGGAGGGATGCAGGGGCACAGCATCCTCCCAGGGTTCAATGTGCTCACCAACCCAGAAGCTCTCTGAATCTCACTATTGCTGAGTTTATAGAGCTTCCTCTCCAGCCCCCTCTGCCACCCCTGCCTGGAGGTCAGTCAGGAGGTCTAGCCACTTGGTCTTTCTGGTGACCAGCTCCAACCTGAGGCCATCTAGTGGCCTCACCCTTAGTGATCTCATTAGCATAAACTCAAGTGTGATCAAAGGGGCTCATTACAAAAAACAAAAGCCATTCCTATCACTCAGAAAATGCCAAGAGCTTTAGCAGCTCTTGGCAGGAACCGGAAGACAAAGACCAAATAAATTTTTGTATTAGACCACACAGACACATAAAGATCAAGATTACAGAACCTCCTAGGAGTTAAGGACCACAGCATTCATCTAGAAGGACAAGGCCAGGGAATCTGCATTTGGAGTGAGCATTCCTGGAGGAGCTAACGCAGATGACCCAGAGAACAAAATAGTAAATATACTACACTATGTTTCTGGTAGTCCAGCTAAGTCTCTTGAAGAAAAGTTGCCTTCCTGGTTAGGAGAGAAATATTTTACGAACAATGTTAACATTTTCAAGGTTCAATAGTTTTTGATTTAATGGAGAACTGACAGTGAGGTCAAGTTTTATTACCTGTGTTATTTATTGGGTTTTCTTTGCCCCTGGTATGGGAAAGTAAAACTTGCATACCCTGAAATTTGCATTCTGCTGGTTATTGTGGAGACTGGTACATCACTGTTTATTTTGGTCCTTAGGCATTGTGTCAGGATGGATCGGGTTTTGCTATCCCAAAATAAAACTAACGAAACTAAAGTTTATTACTTATGCTAGGTGTCTAACCCGGGTTATCAAAGGGGCTCTGCTCATCACTATGACTCAGACCCTGGCTGGTAGATGCTTCGTCTTAACACTGCTTCCACAGTTGCTGTCAGCCAAGGCAATGTGGGAGACTGCTCACTGGTCTTAAAGCTGCTATGAAGTGACAAACAAAACCACATGGCCATACCCTAGAGTGGCTCTCCTGCCATGGGCTCAGAATGGGAGAAACATTTGTGAACAGCCTAGTAACTTACTGGCCACAGTAAGTGGACTCCTGGCCACATGTGTTTTGTCCCTCAAAGTAGTGGGAAGTTGGGGAAAGAGAATTCCACATATGAAATAAGTTGATTTTCACAATCCTCAGTTCCATATCAGCTCAGATTCCCTATTAACATTCCTCAAAGTGAGGGTTCCAAGAAACAGCAAATATCCAAATCTGAAGTCCAAGGAAGGGAGGGTGGGTGAGAAAGCTAGGTTCCTCACTGGAAAAGCAAAGATCTTTCCATTAGCATAACTATTGTTTTATTTCTCCTATCTTAAAAAAAAAAAAAAAAGTCCATATTTGCTCTCTCCAGCCCCTCTCTCCCAATTCTTTCTTCTTCTTTTTTAAAATTTATTTATTTATTAATTTTTTTTTTTTTTTTTTGGTTGCATTGGGTCTTTGTTGCTGCGCACAGACTTTCTCTAGTTGCGGCGAGCGGGGGCTACTCTTCGTTGTGGTGCGCGGGCTTCTCATTGCAGTGGCTTCTCTTGTTGTGGAGCATGGGCTCTAGGCGCGCGGGCTCACTAGTTGTGGCTCGCGGGCTTCAGAGCGCAGGCTCAGCAGTCATGGCACACGGGCTTAATTGCTCCGCGGCATGTGGGATCTTCCCAGACCAGGGCTCAAACCTGTATCCCCTGCATTGGCAGGTGGATTCTCAACCACTGCGTCATCAGGGAAGCCCCCAATTCTTTCAAAAAATTTTTTAAAATTTTGTTGAAGTATAGTTGATTTACAATGTTGTGTTAATTTCTGCTGTACAGCAAAGTGACTCAGTTATACATATATTTTTTTTTCATATTCTTTTCCATTATGGTTTATCACAGGATATTGAATATGTTCCTTGTGCTATACAGTAGGATCAATTCTTTCCTGAACACACTCCAGCCTTGCTTGTTACCACTTCACTGGACCTGCTCTGCTCAAGTTCTCCAAAGACCTTGTCATGTTATATACACAGTTCATTCTTTCCATACCTTACCTAGCAACACTTCACAACTGGATCACTCACCTACCTGCATAAACATTTTCTTCACGTGGCTTCCAGAACACCATGCTCTTTAGTTTTCCTCCTGCTTCTGTCCCCTCCTCAGTCTCCTTTGCTGGGCCTTCTTCTCCCTGACATCTTTGAATGTTGAAGTCCCCCATGGCTCAGGCCTTGGAACTCTTCCTTCCTGTCTACACTCACTCTCTTGGTGACCTCATACAGTCTTCTAGTTTGAACAGTTGCCATATGCTGACCTCTCCCAACTTCTCCAGCCCAGACCTCTATCCTAAATGCCAGACCTGTATATACAACTACATTGTGACATCTCCCCTTGAAGGGCACCTAAAGTTTAACAGTCCTGATCTGATCTCTTTAAACTCACTCCTCCAGGACTCTTCCCATCTAAGTTAAGGACAACTCATCTTTCAGTTACCAGACAGAAACCCTGAAGTAATCCTTATCTCTCCTTTCTCTCACACCCCACCCACATCTGTCAGCAAATTTGGTTTGCTCTATCTTCAAATTATAATAGAATTCGTCCACTGCTACCATCTAATCCAAGCCACTTCCATCTCTCCTGGACTTTTAGAATAGCCTACAAAAACTACTTTCTCTGCTTTTTCATTTGCTCCCTTCAGACTGTCCTCAACACAGCAGTCACAATGATCTCAGATCATCACTCCTCTGCTTAAAATCCTCCAGTGGCTTCTCTTGTACTCCTACTGAAAAACCCCGTTCACTAAAATGCCCTACAAGCCCCAACAGGACCTGCCTCTCCATCTTTCATTTCGCCTGGTCCACTCCCTCTGCCTCCTTGTGTTCCTCCAACAGCCAGCCATGCTCTGACCTCAGGACTTTTGCACTTGCTAAAACCTCTGGCTTGGACAATCTTCCCCCGTCTCTCACCTTCTTCACCTACTTAAGTGTTACCTTCTCACTAAGGCCTCCTTGGCCTCTAAAATTCACCCCCCTCAAGCGCATCCCAACACTGTCACTCTTTCCAGCTTTATTTTGCCCCATAGCATTTTTAAAAACATGGTCCTGGGCTTCCCTGGTGGCGCAGTGGTTAAGAATCTACCTGCCAATGCAGGGGACACGGGTTCAAGCCCTGGTCTGGGAAGATCCCACGCAGAGCAACTAAGCCCATGCGCCACAACTACTGAGCCTGCGCTATAGAGCCCACGAGCCACAACTACTGAGCCCGCCTGCCACAACTACTGAAGCCCGTGCGCCTAGAGCCCGTGCTCCACAACAAGAGAAACCACTGCAGTGAGAAGCCCGAGCACCGCAGCAAAGAGTAGCCCCTGCTCGCCACAACTAGAGAGTCTGCGCACAGCAACAAAGACCCAACACAGCCAAAAATAAATTAATTAAAAAAAAAAAAACATGGTCCTGTGATTACTTAAAAGTCTGACAGGGCTTCCCTGGTGGCGCAGTGGTTGAGAGTCCGCCTGCCGATGCAGGGGACACGGGTTCGTGCCCCGGTCTGGGAAGATTCCATATGCCGCGGAGCGGCTGCGCCCGTGAGCCATGGCCACAGAGCCTGCAGGCTCCGCAACGGGAGAGGTCACAATAGTGAGAGGCCCGCATACCGCAAAAAAAGAAAAAAAAAGTCTGACATACGTAACACTCTCTAACACCTTTTACTTATTTTATTATCTCATCTTCTCTACCCCTAAAGTGCAAGCTCCACGAGGGCAGAGGTTTTTGTCTGCCATATACCCGGCACCTAGAACAGTGCCCAGCACATAGTTAAGAGCTTAGTAAATTTTTTAACACCTTTATTGGAATATAATTGCTTTACAATGGTGTGTTAGTTTCTGCTTTATAACAAATTGAATCAGCTATACATATACATATATCCCCATATCTCCTCCCTCTTGCGTCTCCCTCCCACTCTCCCTATCCCACCCCTCTAGGTGGTCACAAAGCACCAAGCTGATCTCCCTGTGCTATGCGGCTGCTTCCCACTAGCTATCTGTTTTACATTTGGTAGTGTATATATGTCCATGCCACTCTCTCACTTTGTCACAGCTTACCCTCCCCCCTCCCCGTGTCCTCAAGTCCATTCTCTACATCTGTATCTTTATTACTGTCCTGCCACTGCCCCTAGGTTCTTCAGAACCATTTTTTTTTTTTTTTTTTTTAGATTCCATATATATGTGTTAGCATACGCTATTTGTTTTTCTCTTTCTGGCTTTGGTAAATATTTTTTTAAATAAATGAATGACTGATAGCTACTATCCCCTTCTTTTTCTTTTTTTTTTTAATTTAGTCTCTTAAATATGAGCTGCTTAGTGTTCAAGGCACTTAGGAAACAATAGTAACAGGGTCAGATTTCAGAGGATGCAACTGTCCCCATGCTTCTCATAGCAAACAGCGTTATGGG